AAGGCCGCAGTTCTAAAATGTACATGGATCTTTCAGGTACAGTAAACAAAATGATAGATCAGAACATTAGTTTTTCATTATTGTTGCTTAACAGCAGCTTTATTGCTGGTACAAAGGTAACTATCTTCTAACTGTGGTGATTCCTCAATTATTATATATATATTTTAAGACACTTTGGAAACTGCTGGTGGTTCAGTATAAGGTAGGGAGATTGCTAACAGGTTTTAGGGAACGTTTTATATTTTTAAACAACTACGTGGCTTAAAGCCCATTTCTGGGTATTAATAAAAAATATTGACTTTAAGCTTTTTAAAACTCTTTTCTCAAGAAATTTCAGTAAATCAGTAAATATGGCAGGATGTCAGCAGACATGAACTTTCTGGTTTAAACAAATATCTTAATACTCCATTGCCCTTCCCCCTTGAACATTTATCCTCAAAAAGTAGTTCCAAATTTTTTATTTTGTTCAATTCTATTTCATTGAACTAAAAAAATTAAAGGAGGCTGTCAGTAGAAATCATTTGATCCTTCTGTCTGCTTGCCAAAGCAGTCTAGATATGTTAGCTGAATTTTAAATCAGGAGTATCATCTGTACTCCTCAGATTGATCTGCCTTGAAGGATTGTACCTCTCACTACCTACTCTATGCATCTGATATCTTAATTCCCTTTTCTTGGTACACAACAGCTGTCAGTTTTCTGTTTCTGAATTGCTTGCTTTCTACTTATGTTTTCCACTGTCCTCAGAATCCATTCCTTATTCTCTGACTCACTTCTTAATATCAATTTTCTAGGGTTGCTGGTTTACTTGGTTATTTTTTCCAAACAGCTGACTATAGATATGGTGGTCTTTTTGTCAGAATAGTCATGCAGTTAATAGAATATGCCATCTGCCTCTGGTTCAGATCTATGTTTAAATCAAAGATCGATCACTTCTATAATGTGAAAGGAAATTCCAGAGGGGAAGGAAATATAAATGCCAAATTTCTAAATTGGAGAAAGAAAATTTACTTCTGTTTGAACCCTCTAATGGGATTTGACCAGCCTGAAACTTCAGTGACTTTTTATAGACTTCAGGGGATGGTTCTAGACAAAGTTTCCTCTATCTTGTTGCCTTACTTAAGGAAAGAAAGTTGCCCTTTTCTGAAAATTTTATTATTTATTTATTAAAAAAAAATTAAGCCAAAGATTTCTGGGTACTTACAATAAAACTTTGTTTTTATTCATATTGTACAAAAATACAATATGAATAAAAACACATAAAATAAAATAAAATGCAAAATGAAACATACATGCTAGGCAGCAGTAAGACGTTCATCCCAAAGCTAAAATAATAATTAAAATGCAATTAACTAATTGGGGGAGATGGGTGGCATATAAATTTAATAATAAATAAAAAATAAATAAAAATTAAAAGTCAGTTAAAAAGCCTGGGAAAATAGAAAGGTCTTCCCCTAGCCCAAAATGATGCTAATGTGGGTGTCAGTCAAGCCTGTCTTAGGAAGGCATTTCATAAATGGGGTTCTACCACATAAAAAGCTCCTTCCCTTGTAGAGACCCACCTTACCTCCTTAGATGGGGGGACCTAGAGGAGGTTTGGGTAGGTACATATGGGAGGAGGCATTCCTTTGGGTAACCCAGTTCTAAGTTGCTTAGGGTGTTAAAGATCAAAACCAGGACTTTGAACTGGATTATCACCCAGAGACCATTGGAGTTGGGCAGCTGTAATAAATTTGAATAAAGAAATAAATAAAATAAGTAAAATCTGGCAGTCAGTAGAGATGTTGAAGTACTGGCATAATGTTGGCTAGTCTCTGTGAGTAGTCTAGCCATTCTATTTTGAACAAACTGAAATTTCCAGATGGATTTCAAAGGCAGCCTTGCATACAATGCATTGTCATAATCCAGGTCAGAAATTATCAGAGGGGGAATAACTGTGATGAGGCTGTCTCTGTCCAGGTAAGGTCACAGTTGGCAAATCAGCTGAAGCTGATGAGAGACACCTGGATGTCTATGCATCAGTGATGGATCTAGGAGCACCCCAAGCTGCAAACCAGTTCCTTTAGGGCAAGTGCAGTCCCTCCAAGATAGGCAGGGCACCAACCTGATGCACCACTTACAAATAGTATCTCCGTCTTGTCTAGATTGAGTCTCAGTTTCTTGGCCCTCATCCAGTCCATTACCCTGCCCAAGCACTTGTTCAGAATGATAACCGTCTCACCGGTGTTAGATGAAAAGGAGAGAGAGTTGGCTAATATCTGCATATCAATTGCACCTCAGCCTACATCCCCCAATTATTTCTTCCATCGGTTTCATTTAGATGTTAAAGAGCATACGGCATAAAACGGAGCCCTTTTATAAAAACATAAGATGACTTGGGATCTCACTGCTTCATCATACATACATTTCACTGATCTCTGGAGAAAGGACATTTTGCAGAAATATTGCCCCCCTCCCCTTTTGTGTAATCTAATAGTTTAGTTTCATTTTTGGATCTGTGGGAGGAAACAAAACCCAATGGCAGAATAAATGTTTTGTAACAAAGTCCCAGATTCAGTCCCTCACTTATCCAATTAAAATGAGCAGATAGGTAGAAGGTATTGGGAAAGATGATCTCTGCCTGGGAATCCTGCAAAACTGCTGCTCTTGGAGCAGAATGCACTCCAAGATACATAATGGATGCATAATCTAACTTAGCATAAATTGATGTTGCTGTGTTTTACTGGAATCTTGTTGGCTGGCAGCTAACAGTGCTGGCATGGAAAATCTGGACCCAACCAGACAGCCCCTGCCTACTAGATTTGATAAGCCAAGAAGAGTAAGGATTAAGCACTTAAGTGGTAGACTCTACATGTCCCAGTACCTTACCCACCTCCACAGGCCTCAGTGGCTGAAACGCATTGAATAAAACAGAACAGCATAGGGCTCTAAGCATTTCTACTTTTGGTGTTGCGTTAACTGTGAAGACTTAAATTTCAGTTTCAGTTTGTCTAAATGTTTCTTAAAGTGTAGTGCATCTCTCCTAATTACTTCCCCACCCCCTTTCTGCTTAAAGACTTTACTGATAAAGTTTTAAATTAAATAAATCTGAACTGTAAGATTTATTGGACAATGACTGCTGCACAGTTTTTTAAATGGAAACATGTTTTAGACTGGATATACTATATCTATATAGAAATGGAATATGAGTCCTGTAATGATCCATAATGTTAATTTTTACGAGGTATTTCAGACAGTCATAACTTCATCATTTGGAAGTATGAATGCAAGCAGTAAACATCTTTGATTGCTTCATTAATATACCATCCTTTTCCCCAGTCATTCATACAGAATAATTTATTGTATTTTATTATATTTTATTAATTAATCAAATTTACATCCTGCTGCAATCACAAAAGGTTTTCAGCAGTTCACAAAGATGAGAAGAAATAATAATAATCATCATAATAATATGTAAGAACATCTTATAAATGCAATTAAAAACCCCAAAACAATACATAATTTATCACCCGATTTGGATAGTTTAAGTTGTCAATACCTTCAGGCCTTCTCTCTTGACAAAGGCCTAACTGACCTTGGAGCCTGTCTTCTTTTTGTGTGAAATGTTATGTGTAACATTCCCCTCTTTTTTATTGTAAAATATGTGAAGTATGAAAAGGCAGAGCTTCAAAAAAAAAAAAAGTTGTATATATAGTTGGCTGACTTTTACAATCCTGCACTTTATTTTTATATAAAATCTCTCAGTTTTATAATAATAATATTCCTTTTAATTCATTGGGATAATAGAACCAAACATTCCTCGGGTGAAAGATTCTGCACAATTCATTTAATTTCTGCAGGAGATGAAAAAAATAAACCAAGTATCAATCTTAATTCCCCCCACCCCCTCACTGGGCATCATGCAAACTTCTTTTGCTCAGTGTTTAATTAGCTCTTTAATTAGGCATTGTGCAAACTTCTTTTGCTCAGTGTTTAATTAGATATTCACAAGGACTAGAATTGTTCACTTAAACACTTCAGCTGCAAAGAATACAACCAATGAAGCTGTCATGCCTCAAAGATATGCTCAAAATTGCAGAATGGGTTGGGAGAGCAAAAAGAGAGAAAGGCTGATTAGAAAAGATAGCCAACCCATAATTTATTTGCTTAGTCCAGCTCAGTGTTTCTCAACCTTGGCAACTTTAAGATGGGTGGACTTCAACTCCCACAATTCTGGGAGTTGAAGTCCACCCATCTTAAAGTTGCCAAGGTTGAGAAACACTGGTCTAGCTCAAGCTCAAAGATTTTGATGTTTAGAAGCAAACCCCAGTGGGTCCCAGGGGCATTCTAATACAGTCTTTTTATTTCTCAGTGGCCCTGCTTCAGCTTCCGTTCTCAGCAGCAACCACCTTAGTTCCTGCGCGGTCCGTTTGCATGTCAGTTTCTTCTGGGAATTACAGAAGAGAAAATTCCCTGAAGTATGAGGATTTAGCATTCATTCTGATTACAGCTGCTAGGCTGGCTGTCATTAAATACTGGAAATCCAGGAGTCACTTAACCGGTGAACAAATAATTGAACAAATAATTACACAGTGCATGGGAAGCTTTTGATAATAGCAAGAGGATATGGGGAAGAACATTTTTTCCTAACAGTATTTCTGCCCCTGCTGGAATGGAAAATGTAATATTCATCACTGTTAATTTAATGATTCAGAGTTCCTTAGAATTTTTATTTACATACATTTGTTTTCTTGCCCAAAAAGGGTGACTTGGTTTATATTTGAAGTGTATAATTTGGAGTATTATCATTATCAAGATATGCATTTGCAGGGAAATCTGTATCCAGAAAATCCATTGGCAGTGGCCCTTCCTGAGAATCCACCCCATACTTTGATTATGGTTGAAGCAATCAAAGCTCATGAATCGTTTGTATATTTGTCTGCATGTGTATGTTTGCTTATTTGTATATGCCTTCATGTGCCTTGACTGATATTTCTCATTTATTTTGCTGTTCTGCAGCTGGTTCTGATCATCTGTTTATATCTTTCTGGTGCCAAAAGAGTCAAAAGGGATTCAGATGGATTGCTCAGATTAATGGATCGGAGGCTAGTTTGGGGTCCTAGGCTGGATGCAGAATTGAGGGTAAGATGGTATTCAGTCATTGCTTTTTACTTCATCTTTATTTTTTTTGTAAAAATGTGCCTTTTTCAAACCATTGAATCTTCTGTGAGGAAAATGTGTATACTTACTAGAAATTCATCTTTGCAAAAAGTGTCTTACTGTTGGGTTGTCAGTATTTCTATCCTGATATTTTTAACTTCTCTGTTTTTGTTTGATTATGGCTGCTTACAATCTTTGTATAAGAAAACTGTTCAGATTTCATTTGAATAATTTTCCTCCACTGATCTCTCCTATGCCATGTAATTGTTGCTGCATGAAGCAGCTATAAGGATCCAAACATTATTTGGGTAGGAGAATTGTGGAAGTTAATGATACAATTTTTAAAAATAATGGTTTTAGATGTGAGTCTTCTTAGACAGCTGATTTGCAGATATAAAGTAAACCTTCAGTTTAATGGACCATTTGGAAGTAGAGACTGGATGTACATTAAACCCAAATGCCTGTTAAATCTGAATTTATTATCAGTTGCAATAATTTGTGTCATTTGACTAATGACATGGTTATGCTGATTAATGCAGATACATAAATTATATAATTTACATCAATGTATGTCATTTGCATAATGATGCAATGATGGCAATAATATAAATTACATTGTTTATATGTGTACCATTGTATCATTATACAGACAACATAAATAGATACAAATGATGAAACTTGTCTGGACTACTTTGGAACAAAGAACTTTATATGTTAAATACTGAAACATGAAAAATGTGTCCATTGTATCCAAAGTTTGCTAACTTAAGGTCTATTAAACCAAGGTTTACTGTATATGCATAAAATAAATACATTGGAAGGATATATATTTGCGTGTTGCAACATAATTAACAGTGTATTTTAAAAGCTAACCGATGTTGTTATCATATTTTTATAGACTGGAATCTATTTCAGGAGATCCATGCAGTAAGGAAAGAATTTAATAAATATAAATGAATATAAGATATAATTAAATAACTAAAATCTGGATGCGATTGGACTAATTATTAAAAATTTGAATCTCAAGGTACACTGTTGACTACATCTATGCTTTAAATCTTTTTGAAAGATCTATGATTTACTGTGATAGACATCATCTACATCTTCTCATTTTTTATATGATTAGTGGTGTATCACAGCAATAGTATAGTTTGTAGTCCTTCCACTTATTTTAATCCAAATGCTCTCAGTAGTTCTATCAAGTTCATTCCTTAGATATCTGTGCAGAAGTGAATATTTATAATGGGGGGGGGTTAGTATCATCTCTTCTCTTTCTGTTGCACTTTGAAGGATACAAGATGTAGTCTTCAGTGAGAATTTCCTTAGCAGATGTCATATACTCATGAAGCCATATTTCATGATGCCTTGAAATATGCCTTACTTCCCATTCTTATCTGCCCTATCACCACCTCCTGAAACACCTACTTTACTCAAACATGTATTTTCCTGAATCCACATAGGAGCAGCAGTATAGTGAGGGTGCCTGTGCCAAATCCAAAGCACCCTTGCCTACTTCAGATGAGAATATAATATGCCCCTAATTTCATTCCATTTTCCTTTCCACTTTATATCTACTGTTCCCCTGCTTCTCGGTGGTCAGTTGATCTTTGCAACAAACAGTGTGGCATGAGACATTTACATCTATGTTCCCCACTACTTCCATGTGCAGTTTGATGGCTGTGTATTGGCAGAGAATATTTGCTAATGCTTAGTCCATTTTTATAGATTTAGGTGCCAGAGTCCGTACAAAACATTAGGCATGGCAGTGGGTTTCTTTACCCTGAGTTCTTATTTGTTTGTTTTGTTTGTACTGATTTGTGTTTTGAGACAGAATCAGTAATCTAGTTCTAGCTTTACTGCTTCTGAGCCGACAGAAGGATAATGCCATTAACTAAATGTCAGCTGTGCTTGTTTGGCTTTGTGTTCCTTATTGATGATTATAGAAAGGAAGCTACCGATTTCCTCCTCTCCCATCTCCCTGTAGAAGTGTGTGGAAGTCAGATGTTTCACCCAGGGCAGAAGACAATGCTGGCCTTGAACTCCCAACTTAAAAATTACGATTGTGCATGTTTCCCTTGATGCATGCAAGTCACCCAAAGGGGATGGCTCAAATCAAAAGGATGAACTCACTAGAATTATTCTCATTTGCCTGTTTGTTACAACAGTTAAAGACACATTGTGGGAATAGCTGTTGTAACAATATACATTTTAGGAAAAAGTAAATAGGAGAAAAAACCTGTATGCTTGTGCTAGACAGACCAAGTCTTCCATCCTTCATTCTGTCAACCACCCTCTCTTCCTAGCCCAACCTGAAGTTTTGATTAGTAAGGCTATCATTTGTCTTTAAAAAATCTGAATCATGTAAGGAAAGGTTTCTAGTTCTCATGGCTGCAGGAATGGCGCTGCCTAAGAAATACTCTGAATCTGGTGCAAGTAGGACTTCTAATAATGAGATGAGTAAGATTTGTTTGCTCAGCATGGTTTCTCATCTCTTCACACAACTAGGAGCAATTGCAGGAACTGCACAGAATGTTTCAGCGGATCGCATTGTAGCCCTATTATTTTGATTATAATTTTTTTCAAAGAAATGTAGGTTCATTTATATTCATTGGAGTTGAAACTGCTGTGTTAAATAGCTGTTACTGCAGTCATTATGAGCTGGCCTGACTGCATCCTGGGGTCTGAACTAAGCTGGTATTCATGTGTAACCTCCTATGCTTTCATTCCATTTATGGTTCCTGCTTACTTCAGAAATCATTATAGCCAAAAAGCATGCCTGTCCTACCTATGATCAGAATAAAGAGGCTGCAGGCACAGAATAAGGTGCTATAAAGCAAGGACTCTGGACAAAGGACTCTGGATTCTGGCTTCCCTCAGAAATTTTTCATTGTTTGAAGAAATCCTTGATTGAACCGGAGGAATAACAGAATAGAGTGAAACAGTTTTTAAAACTTACATTTTGGCCAGGATGCCCAATATGCAGAATGCGTATGGGTATTAAAGTAGACACAAACAGAAGATAGGTAAATGGCTTTGAAGAGTGGAGAGGTAAGCCTCATAAAAGATAATTTAATTAGCAGACCTCCTCCTGATATATATAAACCTATTGAGAGGTAACTTGAAACTCCTGTCTGTCTGTCTGTCTGCCTGCCTGCCTGCCTGCCTGCCTGTCTATCTGTCTCCAGCCAGCTATTCCCTAGCAGGATCTTTTATCACTGGCCATTTTTCAATATTTGTAAAATAGATGGTTCTAAGTCAGGGATGAGAATGACTTTTCAGTTGAGCCACTGTTTATTAACTGCCTGGCTCCCAAATCAGGAAATGTGCATTTGGGATTTAATTAGGTATTCATGCACTGCAGGGAAAAGAAGGTAGTGTTCAAGGTACATTATGAGAGTTTAAAGAAAGTAAAAGGGAAAGTTACATAGCTGCTGTCCTTTGTGCAGCCTGTGAGTTTCTGTGGAATGGAGTAATTTTACTTGGTATGAAACACTACTAAACCTTGGCGTTAGAACACCCTGTGAGAGATAAACGTAAGAGAGGTAAAAGATTATAATTCAGAGGAAGCAAAATATATTCTTGAACAACATGGATTGGAGGAAAAGGAAACATCTTTGTTTCTTTTTGTAATTCTCTCCAGAGTCTTGTACAGTTTATTTGTTTATTTCCCCAGGATATCCCATTGTATATCTCATGGGATTAATTTCAGATGGTTTCAGAATAATGAGATTCATTTCAGATGGCTCAGTCTTTGGAGGCCTTCCCACGCTCTTAAATCAGCATTGGAATACAGTTCTCAGTATGTAACACATCCCCTTGGTCAAAATATTTCCCAATACTTTGTCCCAATTGTGAATAGGTCTTGTATCAATCCTGGCCAGCATAAGGAATATGTAATGTAACTGGAATGTTGATTTCAAAGATAAGCTTTGAATGCCTTGGGGCCATCATGCTTGGTGATTTTTAAGATTTGCCTATTGTAACATGATCTGCATGTGCCTGCCTTCGAAAAGTATTCAGAATCTCCATTGGTCAAAAATGCTGCTGCAAAAGTTTTGTTAGGAGTAGAAGGCGTCTGTTATGCTTGTACCGTCAATGCTGGTTATCTCAACACTGGACTATCCCAGCCCAGTCTAAAGAGTGATCTGAGATCTGGCTATTATTACTGCCTTCTCTTGTACATTCTCACTATGCTCTGTTTGAAAGAGAGCTCTTTTGATCTGAGCTTTGATGGGTACCTGCAAGAGTGTGGACCTTCTTGGTCAGAGCACTATGGTAGACTTCATGAAAGAGGTCTATTTGGTCAAATGATGTATATATTCAAAATGCTGTGGGAACTTCTGTCATTTCCAAAAAAATGATCTGAGAGTTCATGCAAGCTGATCTCAAGTTTCCTAAAACATAAGCTAGGACAGTAATATAATAAGAATGGATGTCCAAAAGGTTCCATGAATTGTTTTCTTGGCCAATTAGTGAGAACGTTTCTTCCCTAATTTATTCATTGAAGAGAATGCTTTTTTTTTTGGTTTTTATTTTTAATATGGAGGAGTTTGGATCATATGAGCCTGTAACCCCAGCTACAAGTGGCACAGATCCCCCTTGTTATACCACTCCTGAAACCTATTTAGCAAATTTTGAAGGTCTTAACCTACCGGTTTCTACAAATTATGGTGAAATATGCATAGTCTGGGTTCTGAACTATTGGGATAAATGTGTGCTTCCTTCTTTGCTATTTCATAATTTCTCTCTCTCATTAGCAAAAACATTCACAGGGAAATAGTGTTTAGCAGTTTATCTTGGTGAATATTTCCCTCTCCTTTTTTAATTAAAAAGAGCCAAGCTATTTGTGATTAAGAATGCTCTATTTTAATCTTTGCATTTTTTAATCTTTCCAAATAACTTACTGGGTAACAGGTGGACTCATGTGTTTCTTTTCATTCCCCTGAAATTGCATTTGATTTAATTGCTTTTTCTGTTCACAT